CTTGTAATTAAGTTTAATTAGTTTCTGTAATGATAGTTCACGTCGTTTTCTGGGAATACTTTTTATAACACTTGGCTGCAAGGTAGTGCACCTTTCGCTCTTTTTATTTTGCCTACAGAAGAGGAAATATTCATTAAAGCTAATTGTCGTGCTTTCAGGCAACGATTCACCTTGACTTATATAAAATGGAAGAACCAGGATGTATAATTAAAAGTTAATTTGGTCGAGTTCCAGTTTCAGTCATGTTCCATCCTACTAGTATACCAATACAACCCTGAGGTATATGATCTCATCATTATAACGTGACCTTTTCGTTATCGCCTGCTTCGGGCACCATCTTTAATTGGGGCCTCATCATTTTCTCAATTTATACGCCCACTTGAATTGTGGAGGGCGTTTAGTGAGAATTGAGAATTGAGAATTGCTGTAAGTCTAATCTTCAACCCATACATACAAAACTACAATAACTTTCAAAATAGAACAGTTCGTGTCCAGTGTCGTAGCGAGAGTTTCATTGACACGATTTGGAGAAGGTGGCATCTCAGAGTCCCTGCAACCCTATGTTGATTTAAAAGGGCATTAGTGTCAGGCTTGCCTCTCCCTGGAAAATTGGGAAGCCGGAGAATACATAAAGCGCGTTTTTGGAAGAATGATTTATGTATTTTTTATAGTCCGAGTGAGGGGGAGGGGGGGGGGGGGTCCAAAAAAAAAACACTACCTTAAAAAGCTACTATTCGCGTCACAATCCGGCTTTCTGAACAAATAAAAAAGGATTGTCATGAAGACTTCAGTTGATTTGATTTGGGAAATCGTCCTCTTAAAGCTGAACTGTAGATGTTAACCTGGTCCTGAAGATGTATTGTATAATGCCTTGACTGACACGCTATCTGTGATATAGATAAATGCCTTAATCGTAAAGGGGGTTGATATGGGTCTTGAATATAATGTAAATAGTCTTCAGAAATACAAGAAGTTTATGAAAATAGCATAATTCCTCAGTTGCAAGACAAGACAAGTCGTCATTTTTACTTTCAAACGCGGATAATTCTGGCCCTAATTTCAACGGTGAGCTGTAAAGGCTATTACCAATAAACTTAGCTTCGATTGGTTCGATAGGTAAAAATATGGCGAACCTATCCCTTTAAATTGGTGTAATTTCACCCAGAATTGAGAACATTAAAATTCTGAACACGTGTGTATCAATTTAGCTAATGTTCTTCATTCATTTCAACAGATTCTCTTTCAACAGAAGAAAAGAATTCAATTAAATTGGATTTTTAACGGTCAATTCCTCACTGCAATGACAGGTTTGTTTTTTTGCAATCAAAATCTATACAGAATCTTTATCCGGTTTAAAGGGACACATTCGCCATTTTCGAGGGATTATTTGGATCTTGAATATACGTAAAGTCTTCAGAAACATTTGAAATGTACGAACATAGCACAATTCCTTCAAAAATACCCCAAACTAGGAATTTCACTTTCTATTTCTATAGCCTCAACTTCGGCGGTGAACTGTGAACATTCCCGTTTCTGAGACTAAGGTACGATTGGTGAATCGGGTGGCGAATCTGTTCCTTTAAGATCATTTCGATATTATATGGCAAGATATTCGTGATTTTATCAAATCTTAAATATGTCAACTGAAGATTCTGGTGGCTTAATAAGTTTTTGTTCCTCTTTTAACATCTTCAAAAATGTTATGAGATAAAAATAAATGCCACAATCACGTTGGTGCTCTACTCTCAAGATCTCTGTTGAAAAAGTTTAAACATGTAGAATCATCATAAGGTGTTATTGCCTATAATATGATATCAGTGGTTATATGACAGAATACCAAAATTGTCTATCTAATCTTATGGGGGTTGATTTGAGTCTCAAATATATATATAGTTTTCAGAAGTACTAGAAATGTACGAAAATCGCATAATTCCTCCAAAGATATCTCAAACTAGGAATTTCTTTTTCTATTTCTACAGATGTCTTTTCTATTTATGACAGTTTCTCAAGAAAAGACGACTGATCTTTTCATTATTCAAACGCGGATAATTCTAAACACACATGGACTTACAGATTGGCCAAGCAAGAAAAAATTCCCGTTTCGGAGATTAAGTTATGATTGGTCAACAAATTTCAATAAAATGCTTTTGTTGAGAATTACTCGATGGATTTTGATGCAAGAAGTTTTCTCAAATTGAGCTCTACCAGTTTTTGAAGCAACTACTCAGTTAATCAGGTGGCTATATCCTATAAGCTTCTGCTGATAAATTTTGGATACATGTATATAATTATTTTCTTGAGCCATCAGTCCACAATCCAGCAAAAACATATACATGTATATGGAATCGAGTAATCATTCTGAATCACACAATTTACAAATTCACTGAGTGCATCTAGGTTAGCATTTCGCAATTTGCTATATAAATTGATCAGGGGCGTATTCAGAAAATGCTTGAAAGGGAGGGGGGGGGGGGGGGGAGACAAACATGAGAGGTATCCCTCCGAGTCAGACAGAGGGACTGGGGATTACCAGGGGACCCCTGAACCTAACGGATTTCACATAACCAGAGATGAATTTTGAGCAATTAGAGGGCTTAATTTTCACTTCATAAAAGACCCTCCCCAAAATGCGCTACTAAAATGAACGGAAATAAATTTTGTTCTAATACAAGTCCTCAAACATTTAGTTTTAGTGGGATTGCAGGAACCACAGACGTCTGACTGAAAATAGGAATAGTGTAAATTGATGCATATTTCTACAGTACTAATTTTTAAAATTAATGTAATTAATGTCACTATAATTAATAATAATAAAGATAATGAATTAATTGCCGAGTGGAACGAGAAAAATATAATAGTATTATTGATTGACTATCATTATAATAATGTTTCACCCGTCCACCATCATGACCATCCGTCACCATCCGTCACCTCATGAATATTTTTTATTACCAAGTTTAGAAATTCTGGATTTATATAGAACTGTGGTACTGTGGCGGTTTATTGAGGGTTCCTTTTGTAGGTTATATAAAGGATTCGTCCGAAACTTTTCAGATGCCGGTTTACAGAGGATGCGGTTTGGAAGGGTTCCACTGTCATCAATAAAAATTGTCAAACATTTTTCAGCCACGATGGACAATCTTTCATTGTTTTGTGTAGACTAAAGAGTTGGAGGTGGAATCTACGGTGGCTCACAAACGACATTTTTCACTTTTTATTTTGAATTTAAAACTTTAATTTCTACCTAGGTGATAATTATTTTCACCTAGGTAATAATTCAAGAATTTTGAATTAAAAACTTTTTTTCGCCGTTCTTTACAAGATTCGTTGAATAATCACCTTGGTGGAAATTATTTTCACCTAGGTGAAAATTAAAGTTTTTAATTCAAAATTAAAAGTGAAATAAGTCGTATGTGAGCCACCGTAGGAAACGACGACGACTTTCGAGAGGATTCACCGTGGTATAAGAATTGTGTGTTCCTACAAAGTAGGCTACTAGCCTCCAGAGCCAAATTTGTCGAGTAATATACCATTATAGCACTGTTCAATTTTTTTTAAACATATGCTCTCCTGAAGTATTCTTTGGGGTCGGGGGTCGGGGGTCGGGGCCCGTGGTCTTGGTTTAACTACTCACTATGGTAGTTAGTCCAGTGGCACTATTTTCTCCTTGTGGATTTGTGTTGTACTACAGCAATCATACATCGTGAAACTTTTATCTTGGACAACCGAACCTTTCTTCATTTGCCGAATCAGGTACAGACTCCATTTCCTTTCATTTCGAACAGTCAATCTTCCGATTGAGTCTGTCAGTAGGTATGGGATATATGTATCGCTTCAATTTTCAACCCTTTAGTCCACTTATTTCCTTTTTTTTTTTTTTTTTTTTTTTTGATAAACCTTTCAGAAATCAATTACTATTGAGTCAATTTCTAATTATTATGGAGTTGCTCGATTTAATTTTAGCAATCACTTGGGTAAATTTATAATTCATGATCATTAAAAAATGTCTGAAATATTTTCGTTAATGAAAAGTTTCCATCATTTAAGGCCGAATAATATTCCATGTTAAAAAGCAAACTTGATTCATTGGAGACTTGACATTTATTTCATATCACACCTCCAGGTTTATAATAGGCTAAGAATTGATAACTCTGAAGGGTTTCATAGAATCTATGATTACTTTGAAAACCTTAAAGGGGTTGTAAAAAGGTTTTCTCAAATTTTTAATGTGTATCGGGGACCCTGACAGCATCAATTTGCACCATTTAATTTTCAAAAAATCTTCAATTCCATTTCCACTAAAACAAGGTGTTTGATGACGTCACTATTCGCAAAATAATATTTTCTTATTATGCTTATTATTATTATTATGCTTTATCCCCTAAAACCCTTCGCGATTAGTGACGTCATCAAACTCTTAATTGTAGTGGAATTTCAAAACCATCGACAACCGATAGGGGGAGGGAGTGTGGTCAAGTTATTTATCTTGAGGGGCAATTTATCATTCGGTAATAGGCCTATAGATTTCTTTCCGGGCGCTGGAGGGGGCATGCTTGCACAGCTAGGGGCATGTATTTCTATCTCGGTATATGCAGCGATCGAACCCTGGACCATCGTATACGCGGATGAGAGTCATTTTTCTTCAAAATACGAATTGGTTGGTAAACAACTAAGCATCCCTTTAAGTTTAAAGCCTTGCATAATAAATGTATTATATAAATTCAGTCTGGATAATCGTTAGAAACAAGAGGGGGTAACTCCTCCACTTCTGCTTTTTTTTTTTTATTGTCCAGACACATATAAAATAGTAAAGAAATTTTATCTCACCAAATAAACCCTAAACAGTGAATGTTTAATACAAATAAAATAAGTGAACGAATAAGAGACAGTCAATATTTACATTAAACCATTCGCTAGTAATATTAGCATATTAGCAGATGAAGTATTACTGATCGTGCTATTCTGTCTAATAAATTCGAGACTACATTAGTAACCTTGACCTTCACAAGTAAACAGCTTAAAACTAGATTTTACACTTCACTCTCGATATTTCTGTGTTTCTGTGGACTTTAGACTCTAAATTACCTTATTGGTAGCAGAAATAAATCAAGGCTTTAGTTGTTCGTCTGGTAACAATAAATATGGCGAGTTTACGGGTGCTTGTCGGATGCAAAAGAGTGATTGATTATGCTGTGAAAATTCGAGTGAAGCCGGACAAATCAGGGGTTGTGACTGAAGGAGTGAAACATAGCATGAACCCTTTTGATGAAATCGCTGTCGAAGAAGCCATTAGAATGAAAGAAAAGAAATTAGCCAGTGAAGTGATAGCTTTCTCCTGTGGACCTACCGCTTCTCAGGAAACTCTACGTACTGCCATGGCAATGGGTGCTGATAGATCTATCCATGTTGAAGTGGATGCAAACCAAGCAGAAATCATTCAACCAATTCATATTGCTAAATTATTGTCTAAAATAGCTCAGGAAGAAAAGGCTGACATTGTGATGGTTGGAAAGCAAGCGATCGATGATGATTGTAATCAAACTGCACAAATGACCGCAGCATTACTGGATTGGCCACAAGCTACCTTCGCTTCCAAACTTGAACCAGCAGAGGGGGGTTTGAAAGTCACAAGAGAGATCGATGGCGGTTTGGAAACAATCCAAGTGAAAACACCAACAGTCATTTCATCAGATTTACGTCTCAACGAGCCAAGGTATGCTACTCTACCAAATATCATGAAAGCAAAGAAAAAACCCTTGGCTAAAAAGAAACCAGAAGATTATGGTGTAGAAATTAAGGCCCATCAAGAAATTAAAAAAGTGGAAGATCCACCAACCAGAGAAGCTGGACAGAAACTAGAAACAGTGGAAGAGTTAGTAACCAAATTAAATTTAATTTTCCAAATTAAAAGATGGTGGATTCATTTAATTTTAAAGATAATTTAGGAAGTTTAATAAATTGTTTTGTTATCTTGTGAAGGACATTCATACTATCTAATGTTTCAAGGTTAATTGTATTATATTTCAACTTGTTAAAATAGATTGAAAATTATCAGTATTTTTCTTATCAAGGTGAAATGTCCTTTATCTTTGTATGTCTATTTTGAAGTTATCCTTTAGTCCAAAACATGTCTACAGCATATTATCCATGTTGTTCCTTTAGCACCAGTAGTATCTAATCAAGATGTGGATATTATTGTACAGTTGCCAAAGGAATAAGACATAGAATACTACCGTTGCTAAAGGAACAAGACATAGTATACTACCGTTGCTAAAGGAACATGATTATCATAGGGCAAAGTCAAAAATAGTTTATTATTGAACTGGTTTTCCCCTCTCTTTGAATCAGGTCAGAGGGACTTGCGATTTGTTCAGTGTGCTCCATTCTATGCATGGACAGTTGGAGATCAATGCCGCTGTCTTGGGAAATTTTACTCATTACAAGCAGTATCATCATTAGCCCAAAACAAGTAGAGAAAAATAGGGCATAAAACATTTGCCTCTTTCTGCCCAGTCTTTCATTTGTAGATCAATTTGAAATGAATTCTCCAAAACTTGTCTCGCACTAATATAATAGACTAGAAGTCTAAGTTTCTCCTGCTGTTAAAGAAAGTTTGAACCAATGACACAGCTCAATTTTGTAATTTTCAAGTGAAAATATGGATCATTTTCCCCTATTTTTTGTTTAAAGGACAATGCGCCATTCTCCCTAATCTCAGAAACTGGAATTTTTTAGCTAAACCAAGCAGTAATAGTTATCACAGTTCACCGTCCAAATTTGAGTCTTCAAATCCATGTGTTTCAAGAATTGTCCGCATTTGAAAGTTAACAAGACGATCCGTTTTTTCTTGATACACTGCCACAAATAAATTCCTTGTTTTATTTCATTTCCGCACATTTCTAGTACTTCTGAAGACTAAATATATTCAAGGCTCGAATTCACTCCTAAAATGACGCATCTGTCCCTTTAATATGAAAAAACTTACATTTCTATGGACGTGAAAACATTCTATTGTGACTGACATGTACTTGGAAATTCGTTTGATATATTCTTGAATTCCAATTCTGAAAAGTAATCGGTACTTAGGAAACTATGTATGATTCTTACATAGAAATTACACACACAAACAAATAGAATCTCTACCACGACTTTTTTTTAAGTTTTAATATTTCAACAAATCCTTCATATTACATTTTGTTGCAGTCAGGGATACCTCACTGACGGAGTGACAGGTGAGGTAGAATTAATTGGTTTGTTGTAGCCTTTTTAAAAATGGTAGAAAATTCAAAATGATTGTGAACTACGCTTGTGTGTGTTATTTCTATGCAAGAACCAATCGGTGTATTCGTATGCAAAGCATTTGAACAGTAACAATAAGGATATTAGACTAGAATTTCTGAAAGACTTCTTAGGCATAGGAGACTGATATGAATATCATGAATTTTTGCCCTAAAATATGTTATCAAAGGTATAAAACAATTACCAGGACGAAAAGGGTAACATCAATAACAAGTGTGAAAACGTCAAGCTAACCAGCCCCTAGAGACAAACAATAATAACAGACATGGTGAAATTATCAACTGATGTCAATAACCATTCCAATGTAGTGGAAGTAATGCTGAATACACCACAGGGAATATACAATATTATACAAATTGGGAAATTAACAATCTAGAGTCATTTCTTAGTAACCAAATAACACTCTGTTCCAATCTGGCCTACCGACGTGTGAAATACAGCCCTCAAAATTTACATGTATTCGCAAACATTGTAAATAATATCGTATATTGACGTCGCCTTTATTTGTACGTCGTCAATCGACTTGTAAACGCCTTGTTAGAAGTTATTTTTTAAATTTGGTTTGGTGTTTTATATCCACACGATCAAATACGTGTATGATTCCAGTCGTGACTCTAGGGACATGAGACGAATGGCAGAGAAGGACCACCCTTTTTCAGAGAGTTCGCTGAGAACTGGATGAAATTCCACGCTGTAGAGCTTAGGATAGCTAAAGACTTCTATAAGCTGGAGAATACTATCATTTAAACATTTTGTTGAACAAAATCATTAAAGATGGGTTCCCTTATTTTCATTTATGAAAATTCTAATACTAATATGAATAGAAAGTAGGGGTATTCTAATGACTTGGAAAAATACCACTTTGTCTTACATGTCCATAATTAATTCATAATTAGCTGAATTAGAAGAGAAATACCAGAATTCCAATGAGTGACCTATCAAAAGAGGTCAAAAAGTCTTTTTTTTATCCAGACTATATCAATTAATGAAAAAAGTTTGCTTAATTTGATACTAAAAAATAAGGAAACCCATCTTTAAGATGTCTAAGTAATATGCACTATTTCAACAAAAATGATATAATATGGGGGCATGAAACATGGAGGGGGCTGAATTTATAAAACCTTTGGGAAACCAACCTATCGTAATATAAGGGTTAGAATTTGAGATCCTTCCCATACCAGAACAGTCTTCGCCCACGATAATTGTTTAACCTTTGAATCATTTTACTCTTGGTCTAAATGTGCTAAAACATTTTTTATAATCTGTGATTGGATCTTTTTTGTAGGGTGTTAAATGAATCATAGAACCACTGTAATTGAGAGTTTCACGCTTTCCTGTTCAATTTATCTCATCATAGACATATTATATACTCACAATATATCTTCTACATCTTACAAGTATAAAATACCAATACAATTATTTACAGGCTTTCTTTTCCTTTTATAAATATACATTAAGGGACAGATTTGCCATTTTCGGGGGTTGATTTTGGGCCTCTTAAATATGTAAAGAGTCCTAAAAAGAAATACTAGAAAATATACGAAAATCGCATAATTCCTTAGATATATAGTCTCACGAAAATACGAGTCGTCTTTTTAAACTTTCAAAAATGGATAAGACTGTACACACATGGATTCGAAGGCTCAAATTTCGGCGATGAACTGTGAACAATATTACTGATTAGATCATCAAGTCGACATTCTCGTCTTTAGATTTGATTGGTCGAGGATATAGTCTGCGACCAATGAGATGAACCTAAATGATACATATTGTGGGGGAAAAATGTAGTACAAAGGGGCGTTATTCGTTATTAAGTGATCGACGAGAACATCCAGTAAGCATGTAAGTGAATGTGAAGATTGTATACATTATTTATGTACCCGATAGCCCGCTATGCTTCTTGGCAAACGAAAATAAACAAACTGGATGACTTTCTGCTAAGTAATCATTTCTAATGTTCGTACCATGAAAATTTCGATAGGGCACTGCCTCAACCGTATAGCTTCAGAGCGAAATTCTTATTTATGTCGTTAGCTTCTTATCTCTAACTTTGATTGATTTGATACAGTCTCAGCTCAGAAGTATGTTTAATCCTCTTGGGAAATTTACACTGCCAGCCATCGGCGCCATTACATGGAAAGATATATACGGACGGCTTGTTTCTGCATATATATATATGAAAGGGTAATCAGAGCACAATTCCCTAAAGTTATATAATCGTCTAAATAGTTGCTTTTCCAACCAATACTTGAAAGGGACAGATACACCATTTATCTTTTTTTTTTTGGGGGGGGGGGGGGGGGGGGGGGGGGGGGGCAATTTTTCTGA